GTGTGCGGCGGCCGGTGTTCGCGGGCGAGGCGCCGCCGCTGCAGTGGTCGCCGCGGCTGCTGGGCCTGTTCGGCTTCCAGGCGGTCATCGTCACGTTCGCGAGCTACCTGGTGTGGTTCTGGCTCGTGCGTCATTACGCGGCCAACCAAGCTGGTCGGTCTTCACGCTCAGCACGCCGCTGTTCGGGCTGGTGGCCGGGCGCGCTGCTGCTGGGCGAGGGCGTCAGCGCGCGGCTGGTGGCGGCCCTGGGGGCGCTGGCCGTGGGCATCCTGCTCGTGAACCGCTGATGTCACCGGGGCGGCACGGGTCGGCAGCTGCGCTGCATAGACTCCCCCGCTCACCCAGGAGACTTCCATGATCACGCTGTGCGGCATCCCGCTGTCCAACTACTTTATTACCCCCTCCTAGACCGACATACTTTCTCCAGAAAGTCGGCACCTGGGTTGCCAAAGATGAGGTTGACCTCATTTTTTTGACCCAGACCACTCGGTAGTACCCCATATAAATTGATACATGAGGTGTAGAGTTCAGCGCATACAGGCGCAGCAAATGGCAAAGGAAAGCATCCTAGGGTTCAAGGGTTCTCTAAACGCCCTGCTGTCATCCAAGCCTTCTCATCGGGCTCGACGCCAAAGGGCGCTGCCAGATGCAGTTCGCCGATGCAACGACCGCCGAGTGTCGAGTGAGCTGCCTCAACGCACAGTTCAGCGAACTGAGCGCGTCCAGCGTCCAGCTAGCCCTCGTCGCCTGGCTCTTCAACCTGTCTCAAGACACCCTTCTTGCCGCCGTCAGTGGAAGTGCTTTGTCCGGCATCCTGAACGCAACAGGCTAGGAGCTCGACTTGACCAACGAGCCAAGCCCTTCTGGCTTTGGATGTGGAAACCGCGGCGTCACCAACGCGCTGTTGGCCAAATTGGCTCCCGTATAGCCGCCGCCACAGCGGACGATCGAGGCCTGCCATGTTCGTGACAGCGAAAGCGCGACTGTTGGTAGATTCGACCGGCGTTCCTATCGACGTAATCGCAGTTCTAACGCCATCCGGAGTATTGCTTCCTCTGGTCGACTACTTCCGCCTCCATGCGCGCACCCGCAGTCCCTCTTGGCAAATTAAAGTCGCACATGGTTTGGTATTGTTCTTGGAGTACATGTACGCGAACCCAGCCGAGGGCAACTCACAACTGCTCTTCCAGAACTTTGCGCTTCGGCTGGCAACTGGGACGTTCGAACTCGAAAGCCGCTGGGATTCAAGTGGTCTCTGCTGGAAAGCTCGTCCACCTAGTGAAGTCAGACGAATTGTCCAAAACCTATCTGATTTCTTCAGGCATCTAAAGCGTGATCGCCCTCAGAACGAGCAGATAAACCCAATCTACGAGAGCAGCACTTATGACCGCATGGTTGACCAAGCTGCCTACTTGTACCGCAGAAATTCAGCCATGCTGGGCCACGCGTGGTCGCCGAACGCGCCAAATCGAGGGGGCGCCGCCGTCCGAGTGTCCCGCAAGCCACAAGTCGCAGTCCGGAATTCACCCGCATTCCCCGAGGCGCGCTTCGAAGAGTTGCTAGTAAAAGGCTTTCTGGGCGGCGCGAGGCCTGACTATCGCGGAGCCTGCATCACCTTACTGCAACATGGAGCAGGCTTCCGTGAGTCCGAGCCGTTTCACTTGTTTATTCAGGATGTTTTTCCCGACCCAAATGACTTGAGAAGCTCCTGCGTTCACATTCATCATCCCGAATGGGGTGCCCCACCATTGCAATCGAATTCTCAGGCCGGGCAGGTCTCCGGCGCCAATAGAGCAGATTACCTTGCGACCCGCTATGGACTAAAGCCTCGCAACGTTCTAACAGGAAAACTGCGCGCAGGTTGGAAGAATCCACTTTTGGATGAAAAATATTTTATGCGTGCCGCTTGGTTTCCTGACTACTTCGGGCGTTGGTTTTCAGAGCTATGGAGTCGTTATTTGCAGCAGCTGCTCAATGTGGCACGGCCTCATCCGTGGGCATTCGTGAACCTAAGTCGAGCCCCTGTCGGTGCACCGTATACGATTTCGACTTTTAACCATGCGCACGGTGCGGCCTGCGAGCGTATCGGATTGAAAGTCTCTAAAGCCTTGGGCACTACGCCGCATGGACATCGGCACGCCTATGGACAAAGAGCGCGCAGCGCAGACCTGGACAAGCAGTTCATCAAACTATTCATGCACCATAAATCTCTCGAATCTCAGGAGACTTATACACAACCCACCGCATCTGAAATGCGGGCAGCTCTTGCCGATGGGGTTAATAAATGGCGCTTTGCGCATTGGTTCGTGACGCCTCATGCGCCGACGGCCATCGTGAGGAATGGTGCGGGTTTGCCGGGAGTTTGAGCTGACCGGTCCAGCGCACGGAACCAACCGAGGTAGCTGGCCAGGTAGTCGCTGGCCACGCCGTTGAAGCGGCGCATCCAGTTCTTCAGTCGGCCGTGATACGCATTGACGTTCTGGATGTGCCAGGCACCCTGCACGCGCGGGCCTCTGGAGATGTTCAAGGCATGGTGCTCGACCCCGAGTTGCCGGGCCGCAGCACCCAGCGCGCCGCCGCAGTCGGTGCACAGCACAGCGTCCGGGGCCAGCACCGGCGCCAGCGCCTGTGCTGTGTGCAAC